GCTGATTGTCTGCTATGTGCCAGGCACTGTGTTAGGTACTGGGAACAGCAAAATGACTTGAGAGATGGACCTACCCCCTAAAGAAAGTAAGGGCTAGTGGGAAAGCACGCACATAAATAGTTAACTTGGATATAACCTGTTAAGGCAACTACCTCTTCCCAGGGCACTATGGGAACAATGAGGACAGGGGAAGCCCCTTAGAGGAGACGATGCCTAACCTGAATGAAGAAATGTGGCTGTGTATTAATCCAGTGAGGTGGAGGGGAAGGGTTTCCCAGTCAGAGAAAAGAAGCAGGAGAAGCAGGACACCCAGAAATGGCTGAGGAAACGTAGCAAGTTATGAAAGTGGTTGGTAATGAAGGGTAACGCGCTGTGGAACTGGCGGAAGAGGGGTCTGGATGGGCAGGTGGGAACCGTGTCATGGAGGGTGTTGGGTGCCATGCTGAAGGGTGTGCACCTTCACTGAAGGGCTCCAGGGCAGGTGGCATGGCCAGGGTTACAATGCAGATGGATCAGTCTGCCTGCGGTGTGGAGGATGGGGCATATTGAAATATCCAGACCAGACAGGCTGAGAGCCTGAAACTAGAGACTGGATAGGGCTAGAGGAATACAGAGGCAAAATTAGTCATATATGGGGGTAGATGAGAGAAAGGAAGTCACCTAGTCGTGCACAGTGGCCCCTGGTGTGGATGTTAGAAGGACACCAGAGATCAGCAATAGGAGTGTTTTGAAGTGTGTGTCTTGCCTGTAAGCAGAATGTATGTGCAGTATACAGCTTATGTTGCAAAAGCCAAAGAAAGAAGTATTTCAAAAAGGAGCGATTAACATACTCTCAAGAGGTCGAACAAAGACCCGAAAGACTTGAATGTGTTCAGAGGTAGCAGAGAAAGACCAACCAAGGAGTGAAAGAATAAAGACAAAAGGAAAAGCAAGAGATCTGATAGAGAAGAGGATGGCAGGGGACAAGTCTAAAGCTCATGTGGAGTGGTGGCCCTGGCTGCTATAAAGGTGCAGAGAAAATACAACCTCATGTAACCAAGACCACATCATATACTGCGTATTTATCTTTAAAGGCATCACTGACGCTCTCCTTTTATAATGTAGATAAATTTCAAAATTTTAATGTGGTAAAATATACATAACATGAAATCTACTATCTTAAATTTTGTGTCCACTTCAATAATGTTAAGTACATTCACATCATTGTACAACCAATCTTCAGAAATCTTTTCATCTTGCAAAACTTCGCACCTATTAAACAACCATGCCCATTCTTCCCTCCCTCGAGGCCCTGCAACCACCATTCTACTTTCTGTCTCTATAAATTTGACTAATCTCAGTACTTCATAAAAGTGAAATCATACAGCATTTGTCTTTTTGTGACTGGCTTATTTCATTTAGCATAGTGTCCTTAAAGTTCTTCCATGTTTTAGCATGTGTCAGAATTTTAAGACTCCTTAAGACCAAATAATGTTCCCTTAACTTTTAAAGAAAAAAAAGAAACAGAATCAAGAATCTGTTAGATATTTTCTTGGAAAATTCAGGAAATCATAGTAATGACAAAAAAAAATCACTCATAATTCTATCGCCAGAGTCAGCTGCTGTTAACATTTCACTCTGTTTTCTTCAAGTCTTGCTACCTTTATGTGTATAGAGAGAGAGCATCATTTTTTGAATCATACTCTGAATGTAAGTGTTATACGGCTGCCCTCACAAAGCCACCATGCACTTGGTGGCTGACAACAACAGGAATTTATTCTGTTCCAATTCTGGAGGTCAGAGTTCCAGAATGAACCTTAAGGGGCTAAAGCCAAGGTGTCAGCAGGGCCACACTCCCTCCAGAAGATTTAAGGGAGTATCTGTTTCTTTGCATTTTCCAGGAGCTCATGGCCCCTTCCTCCATCTTCACAGCCAGCGTACACAGCATCTTCTGTCTCTGACTCTGTTTCCTTCACATCGCCTCTTCTGTCTGTGATCTCCCTGGGCCTTCCTCTCATAAGGACACTTATGATGGCTTTTGGGGTCCACCCAGATAAACCAGGATAATCTTTCCACCTCTATGTCCTTAACATAACCATATCTGCAAAGTCTATGCCCTATAAGGTAAGATTCATAGGCTCCAAGGATTAGGATGTGGGCATTTTGGGGGAGCCATTAGTCTACCTACTGAACTCACCACACTATGGATGCAAATGTAACCACATATGAATAAAAGAGTATTTCAACTGACATTTGGCGTCAGACTCAGTTAATTAAGCTTTCTCTGCCCTGCTAGAATTCCTCAAAATATGAGATTTTTAAAAGAGTTAAGCTGTCACAAACCCTGAAATAGGAAGGATGCTCCTTGACTTCCACGTGACCTATAAACAATAGCGTGACGTGAAACATTATCTGACAAGATAAAGTATAAGCTGGCTGGGCACCTGACACTTGGTCTCATCCTGACAGGCCTATGTGCCCTCCCGATAAGTGACTGTGTCATAGTTGTCCCTCCTGTCTGTCTCCAAACCACCTTCTTCCCTGCCATTTAAAAGAAGCTGGCATTGAATTGTGACTGAAGAGACCCTGTTACGGGTTGTGTCCTCCAGAAGTCCTAGTCCCCATGACCTTAGAATGTGCCTTATTTGGAAATTCAAGATGTAATTAGTTAACATGCAGTGATACTGGAGTAGTGCGGGCCCTTAATTTACTAGGACTGGTGTCCTTGTAAGAAGACATAGAAACACACCAGGACAAGCCATGTGATAAACAAGCAGTGATGATAGAGACATGGCTGCAAACCAGCGGACACCAAGGATCAACAGTCACCACCAGAAGCTAAGGAGAGGTAGAAAGGATTCTACCCAGAGTCTCAGAGGGAGTGTGGCCCCGCCAGCACCTTGATTTAGGACTTCTAGCCTCCAGAACTGAAAGAAAACAATTCTGTTGTTTGAAGCCACCCAGTGTGTGGACCTGTGTGATGACAGCCCCGGGAAACCAATACAAACCCCCAGGCCACCTGTGTCTTGTAGCGCAGGATGCCAACATGGCCTGCTGGGAAAGCAGCCAATCCAAATCTTGGCGAAAACTGGGGGCTGACACACAGCCTGAGCGTCAGCCTAAGCCTGGGGTTCAGAAAACTGAGCAGTGTGTCCTGGTCTGAGTTTTCACCTTCCCCGAGCAGCTGTGCCATGCACATATCCTTTGACCACGCTCGAAAGATCTGATTTTCCTCAGCTCTGTTAAAAACAAACAAGCAAACAAAAGGCACCACGACCGCCACTAGCACGCTCCCAAATTAGATTGCAGAAAAAGGTGTCCAGCAAGAATGCTGGCAAAACACATCATCTACCAGGAATTTCAGGCATGTAACCATGGACTGCAATAATGACCCTTTGTGTGTATTGCATTTTGCAGAGAGAAGACTAGGGCTGATAAACGTGGGTGACAGAGCGAAAAGAGGACCATGAAACAAGTTAATGAAGAGTTCCCAAGTGCTGACCTTACAGCTGAGACTCACTGACTCAAGGACACAGAGAGCCCCTCTCTTGTGATCCTTTGTTTGTGGAATCCTGCCAAGTGTCACACCAAGCATGATAAGGCTTCCCTGAGAGTGGGCTGCAGGCAGCTCAGAAAGGAATATGATTCAGCTTCTTAGTGGATCCAAAGGAGAAAGCTATGTCAACATTTTTAGTTAAAGCAGGAAGGGGAGGGAGGAGGTGAGTCAGGATGGGGAAACATAAGACACCTTGAGTAAGTGTGATTGAGAACACATCCCCAAAGCTTTGAGATCTTATGCTCTGAGAGCAGGGCCTTGAACAGTCAGTTTCTGAGAGCAAAGCAGGTATACCAGTACATGAACACCTCCCCCAACCTCAGCAGAATACAGGGGGACCCTCAGTTTCATCCAGATAAAATGTGAGCATTGGAAGTTACCCCAAAATGGAAGTGGTGACCACACTAGCCACCACCATGGTTCTGCTGGGGAAAAGGGGTCACAGTTACTAACTTTACAATACAATATGGTCTATCACAGTGTCCTGGTCAATAGCCAAATACTCCAGTTCAGTGATAAAAGATTAGATTCACAATGCACTCACGTTATATAGAACTTTGCAGGAGGCAAAGGAAGCTTCTAAAGTCTGATACAGCCACTACAAATTTGGGCATAAATATAAATACCCGGTTTCAAGTCAAGTCCCCATCCTATAAGGCTTACTGGTGAAGGTATCTTGAACTGGTATTGGGGTGACAGATGGTATTTAGTACCCGAAAAAGCTCTCAGCTCTAAGATGTATGTGATTGCTGCATATCCCAAGAGCGCAAAGAACTCCCCGGTAAGATGGAGCGCGTAGCTCTCGCTGACCAGCATCCATGGGATGAAACACATTATTTATACTTCCATGCTGCCTCTGCCAACATAGTCCTGTAATCTAGTGTTAAACAGTTTTCCTGACCAACATTATAAGGACTTGACCCTGGCACAGAAACAGCGGTAAAGAAGACATTATCCTGGACCTCAGAGAATTCACAGATGTGTCATGCAAGTCTTTGTTGAATGTCGCCGTAGCTGAGAAATCTGCTCCTCTCCACTCACCTGCTGCTTATGATTTCATCCTATCCCTTATAAGCTGGCGTACATTTATTTATTTATTGTCTGCCTTCCTGCATTGGGATAAGAGCAGGAATTGCATCTCTGTTGGCTCATTGCCATATTCCGGGTGCTGCAACACTGTCTACCGCATACAAGGCATTCAGTAAATATTTGTTGAATATGCACTTTGAAAACAGGAACTCCATTGCCTGGGGCACCAAGGTCAATAACAACTGAGGAAGGTTATCCCACAGA